ACCAACTGCTGACCAACTGCTGACCGGTCGTCTCCTACCATAAAACACAACCCATACCATAAAACACATCCCCCTAACCAAAACGTATACATTAACATTTATCACAAAAGTCTCTATCAAGCTCTTCCATTGAGTTCATATGGTTGTGTATGTCCTGATGCTTTGCTTTGTATTTTTATGTCCATTATAATGAGATGTGTGTGCTACCCTACTTCCGTGCTTTTTGTTCCTGTGAACATGTGTGTGTGTGTGTGTGATTACGCGTGAGTGTCTGTGTGTGTGTACACATACTTGCATCCTGTTCATCCTCCTTTTCATATCCTCTTCCTTACTGTGGCAGGTCATAAAAAATCATCAATCCTCATCTGTATTTATCCAAATCTTTTAGTTCATTCACCAATATCACCTTTGCTTGCTCCGGTGTTCCGTTCAGCTTAATCCATATCTTGCAATTTCTTATCCATGTAGTCTGTATTTTGTTTTGCTTTCTCAGATTCCTCGCTTTCCTTGCAATCTTCGCATTCTTCTTGGTTAGATTCTCATTTATATACACTCCTGTCCCCTTCAGCTTTCTAGCCTGCTTCAGAAGTCAGCTTTGTGTTTGCAGTTTTGGAGTCGCAATATGATTATCAGCGCAGCTTTTGCACTTCTCTTGGAAAGAGTGTGACAGGCTACTATGTTTTGGCTTTGGATATGCACGTTTTTGCTCTTGAGGAATTGGACAAGTTGTTGCTCCAGTGCGATCATTTCACTTTGTGGAGAATCTTCTCCGTTTTTATCTCCGACCACAGTTCTTGTAAAGGTTTGATGTTTAGTTTGTAATCCGCTAATAATCACATCATCCAGACGTGAGTATGGTTCCAATGTATCCACCCTCTGTTCCAGATCAAAGATCTTCTTGTCTTTCTCATGTAGTTGGGATTTTAGCTGCCGCACTTCCTCGACTAGTGCCAGTATGTCTGTTTGTTGTTTCCCCATTTTGTCCATCTCCAGGGACATAAAATTCAGAGATTTTTTAATCTCCTCTATGTCCTCTGTAACTTTTTTCAGGGTCATTTTGTAGCTTTTCTGATGTAGTCCGCACAGACGGTCGAATTAATTAGTCACATTTATGTCAGATATCCGTAGCCACGTGTTGGTCAAATAAAAAAGCTACATCAAGCTACATGTGCCAATAAGCTGTGCATAGGTGCAGGGCAGTTCTACATGTGTGGGTGTGTGTGACTGAGAAGCATAAAGTCTACAATTTAAGGCAGGACTATGAAATAAAGTAAAGCAGCTAATGTTGAGCCAATGTTTTTAGGACTTTCTTTGTGACAATACTCCCAAGTAGGTGAACTGTCTCTCTTGAATTTCCAATGGTATGTCATTGTAGGTTTCATACTTATGTATATGTATATTCATTGGGATCAGTTTGCTTTTGTGCAGGTTAACCTTGTATCCTGAGGGTCCCAAAGGTTCTGACCAGTCTGGTTCAACTGGACCTGTTCTAAAATGCAGCTACTCAGGACATCCATTATATTTTTATCTGATCCTGGTTCAGTTTGTTCATTTAGGACAGGCTTTTCACAATAAGAGCGCCCTCTGTATGTATTTGTGAGATGATGCTCTACACTGTTACCATGGTAACGGCTCAGCCTGAAACAGGAAGTGTGTGACAGTTGTTGTTGTTGTTGTTGTTGTTGTTGCTGATGAGAACAAACACGTTTTATTAAAAACCATTTCCTGCCGCCAGCAGCAGCTGATTTGAGTTGAGTGCAGCGGTGATGTCATCAGCAAGAACAGGCGCCATGTTTGCGGCCGGAGGACGAAGAAGATGAAGAGTTTAATGAAGCAGCAGATTGAAGATAATAGAAGAAGCATGAATGAAGCAGCTGAGGTAATGTTCTCCACTGAGAGGATCATTAGTGAGAGCAGCCAGTGAAGACTGCACTCAATAACAACAACAACAACAACAACAATAATAATAATAATAATAATAATAAGCAATAATATTAGCAGATGGAATCATGTTGATGTTTGTTAATTTTTTACCATCAGTTTGATTTTAAAAAGATATAAAAAGATATTAAAAGATATGCTTTGAGTGAGAATAACCTCACTCAACTCTGTTATATAGTGTAAGGTGGCGCAGAGGTTGTTGGTTCAATCCCCGGCTGTGAATGTAGTGTACGGGTACACATTGAGGAAGACTAGAGCTTTATAAGGAAGTTTAAGTCTGTTTAATGTTTGAACATACAGTAATGTTATTATGGTAAATGGTAAATGGCCTGTACTTGTATAGTTTCCCTTCTAGTCTTCAGACCACTCAAAGTGCTTTTACACTACAGACACATTCATTCATTCACACACATTCACTCAGTTATGGTAAAGTCCATTAAGCAGAAACTAACTCATTCACACACTGATGTACAGCATCAGGAGCAATTTGGGGTCTTGCTCAAGGCCAGGGATTGAACCAACAACCTTCCAATTAGTAGACGACCCGCTCTGCCTCTGTACCACAGATATTACTGTAATGTTATTATATTATATTATATTACAGTAATGTTATTATATTATATTATATTATATTATATTATATTATATTATATTATATTATATTACAGTAATGTTATTATATTATATTATATTACATTATAATCATTAAATCAGATATGATTTAATTATTATTATTATTACTATTATTATATGATCGTTGAGATTTATCACTGTTGTTTGCTTTTGTGCATTTTATTTTGAATGTCTTTGAGGCTAATTGTGATTTTGGGTAATTTAAATAAAGATAAATATAGACACGGTGTTCCCCCCCCCGAAGGTCAGTAACCCATTTCCCATTTATGAAGACGCCCCCCGTTCCTCCTCCTCCTTTAAATGGCTCCTCGTCCCTCCGGAGGGAAACACTGAAGAGTCACAGTGACAGGTGAGGTACCTCTCTCTCTCTCTCTCTCTCTCTCTCTCTCTGTGTGTGTGAGGCTGGGTCCCTCACCCACTATGATTTACTATAATATAATATAATGTAAAACAATATTATTGTTACAGTACTGTCAGTCTAAATCATTTATATTATATTATTCTAATAATTGTCATTGTTTTATTAACAATGTGTCAATATTATATATAATCTAATAATGTTATTAATATGTCCTTAAACCTTCTGTTTGTTAGGGAGTTAGGGGGCTAGAGTTAGGGTTAGGTTTAGATAGAGAAGTCCTTTTTCCCAAGGTATCCTTTGTGGGGATTTCCTGGGAAAAAGGGTGTGTGCTGGCCATTCTTGCTGTTGTTTTTATTCTGAGAAAAATAAAGTTTGTGCCCTGCTGTGTTTTTAATAATTTCTAATATTTAGGATGTGGGGGAATCTGGTGTTTAGTTTTCTGATCCAGTGTCTTTCAGCTTTTTTCCTCTCCACCGGTGTGCAATTTATGTTGTGTTGTATTCCTGTTATTTCTAATGACCTAAAACCATGGTTAATAAAGTTTGCCACTAAATGTGTGTGTGTGTCTTTGTGATTTTTAATGTTATATATGTGTTGTGCCAGTCTAGTTTTAATTGTGTTGCCTGTTTCTCCTACGTATGAGATGTGTTGTTTGGAAGGTTTTTAATAGTTTTATTTTGTCTAAAGTAATTTGGGCCTTGTTAAGGAATTGTGTTTAGTTCTGGCAGTTTACTTTTGACTAGGTAGTCTTTTAGGTTTTTGTTCCTTTTGTAAGCAGAGATTATTTTATAATCCTGGAGCATGTTTGTGTTTTGTATTTTTTGCATGAAATTGTTCTTAATGTGTTTTTTTGCTGCTACGCTATATGTGGAGTAAGTGGTGATTAATGGGATGATTTTTCTCCTGTCCTCTGGTCTTGTGTTGAGACCTCGTGTTGTATCCTTCCTGATTTGTCTGAGGAAGGACCTGGAGTATCCCCTGGTTTTTAATGCCTTGAAGAGGGTCTGAGTGGCCTCTTCAAAAAGTCCGCTGTTTGTGTGCAGATTCTGTTGAAATCTTGATAGCTTGTGATTTAACTAGTCTTTAAATGTGTGTTTGGGTGGAGCGTTTTTGTGTAGAAGTGTGTGTGTGTCTGGTTTTAAAATAAACTTTGGTGTCCTAATGTGTGTGTCTGACGAACTGTGGCTTTGTAGGTTATGTGTGTTGTTATGTGTGGTGTAATTTAACTGTGATTGAGCTATGGTGTGTGTTTTAGTATCTCCTATAAATCAGTGGAATGCCTTTAGGCTATGTGTCCCATGTTCCCCTAATGATGCATCCTAAGTACATCTGTACGTCAAATGAGGCTGGAACGTTTACGGCAGCACCAAAAACAGTCTCAACTCCCCAGCATAAAACATGAGAATGTTGGCGTAGGCCCTGGAGTAATTTTTTATGCCCCAATAAGGCACAAGTAGCTATATAATAACTGTGATATTAATATTAACTCTTGTTAAAATTCAAAGTCATATTCTATTAAGACTAAGATTTCAGGAGTCTGATAAAAGCTATCTGCTGTCAATGGATTATATTAATCCATCACCACGGTCTTTCTGATGGGCTGCAGTACTGTTCTGGTCTCCTATGTTAGGTGTAGTATTATTATCTAGCTTTATTATGTTTATTAGAAGACTGGGATACTGCATGATAAAGAAATGACCTCTCATGTGGGTAACCTGTAAAATGGACCTGTACTATGTAAATAAACGCGCCTTTCTAGTCTTCCGACACATCAAAGCATTTCACACTCTTTACACTCAACGATGCAATTACCCCCTCCTTCCCAACACATTCACCATCCAGATGATGGCAAGTCCATCAACCACAAAAACATCATTTAATCACAACCATCACCACACAAACCGACTCTGCTCGCACCTCGGGAGCCAATTATGGGGTTCAGTATCTTGCCTCAAGGACTACCTCTCTGAACGTGGCAGGAGCGCAGCGGGGAATGCGAACCAACAACTCCGATTGGCCTCTGAGCCACCAGTCCGGCCCCTCGTATCCTCGTGATCCTGTAGGATTCCGCTGTTGCAGCTCCGATAAATCAGGCCCTTCCTGCTAGTACTCTTCAAACGTATGCCACACCCTCCCAGGATTCTGGTTTTTTATGTAATTTGGGAGAAGATAGAAGATTTGGGGTCCAGGAGTATCTTCTCCCCTAAGATGAAAACTCTGTTTTTTAGTTAGGAAACCTTTTTCTAATAGCGTTTGAATTATTTTGTGGAGCTCCCCGGCTGTTTCTAGGTATATTGGTTGGTTTAATTTAGTGTAATGTTCTAGGTTGTTAAGTTGCTGGGTTACTTTCTCTATGTATTGGGCTCTGTCCATTATAACTATGGCGCTTCCCTTGTCCGCCGGTTCTATGACTATGTGTTTGTATTTAGCTAATTCAAAAAGTGCTTTGCTTTCCCCTTCGGTGAGGTTATTTTCGTCCCTGTGTTGTTGGGGGTTAAGTGCCCATGTTATATTATGGTCTCCGAGGATGATGTCTTTGATTTCGTTAGGGATTTGGTTTAGATTGGGTTCCCAGGTGGATCTGGGTGTGTAGGGGATATAGTCCCCTGATTCTTCCCTTTCAAAGAATGCTGTTAGTTTGAGTCTATGGTGGTATTCTTGGGTCTCCCCTTCTTAGTGTTTCTTTTTGTTTTTGTTTGGGGTTAGGGTGTTAGGGTGTGTCTCTGCAGTGATTTAATTCTCTTTATCTTATTGTTTTAGGATTTATTTTGGCTGGATGATTATTATTATAAATTTTTTTTTGGCCTATTATTGCCTTTATTGAATCAGAATCAGAATCAGAATCAGAAATACTTTAATAATCCCAGAGGGAAATTATTTAAATTGATAGTGACAGCCAAAGATAGACAAGTAAGGGGGGCAGAGAGAGAGGGGATGACACGCAACAAAGGGCAGGTCGGATTCGAACCCAGGCCGCTGCAGCAACTCCGTATATGGGTCGCCAGCTATACCGACTGACCTAACCAGGCGCCCTAGATGATTATTTTTATTATTATATATTCAGGAGAGAAGGCAGAATATTTTGTTGAAACATAATCAAGAAGGTGTTAGGGTAATTATATAATGAAATATTGGCAACTGTGTGCATTACTCAAAAATGTAATCAACCAAAATCAATCAGTGACTCTGAACCTAAAAATATTTTTAAAATATTTATTATTTTATGAATTATATTATATATCAATTTTCTAAACCAGTGCTGACAAAAGTATCAATACTTCAAATTATTACTGCATCACAATAATAAGAATAAAGGTTTCTCTTAAAAACTGATGACAGTTTTTATCAAGTGAACTTTTATCAGTTTAAATATCCAACAGACGGACGTTGGATCTCACTGTGATTTTTTCTTCTTCTTCCTCCTCCTCTTCCTCTTCCTCCTCTTCCTCTTCTTCAGGATGTTTGGCTCCGTGCTGCTCTGCTATTACTCCTTCAGTCTGCTGCGTCTCTCTTCTTCTTTGGTTCATGGAAACATCCAGTTGGACGACGGTCCAGCAGCCGGTCGTCTCTCCGAACCATCGTACCTGTCTGACCTGGGTCAGTAACACCTGTCCAACCGGAGCAACAGTTGTCCATTACTGCAGAGACATTCAACTTAAACTTGTGATGACTTTCTCCTTTTTATTTTACGGCAGGAAAGAGGTTTTGTCTTGTTTTTTTAATCAGTTTTATCTACTAAAATGTTGTTGATAACTATCAGATCATAAATTATCCTGGCCATTCAAATTAATGCAAAAAACATGTATGATGTCATTATAGAGACTTTCCCTCAGTACCCCTCCAGCATCCTTGATCTAAGTTGAGGATCTAGATTTTTTGGTGAGAGACATAAAACAGTAAAAGATGTCAAAACAAAAAACAAATTCAGTTTTATTTGTATAGCATCAATTCATAACTAACGTTCTCTCAAATAGAGCAGGTCTAGA